GGCGGTTGTTGGGGCAAGGATCTTATTCTCAATATTTATGGGTGCTAACCATGCCCTAATACAGGTTGGCAATCTTCACTCATTCACCCATCTCCCTGCTGTGTACTTATGTCTTTGCGTCTATTATGGCGCAGGACAGAGCACTTTACAGTTCAATATGCCAGAGCATTCATCCCTTCCTGCCTGGGTGTTATTGGCATGTGGCAAAGCACACATTACCTCGGACATGCACCTGGACCTGCTACCAACACACATGTGCTTCAGGCATATGGAACAACAAACTAGGTGGATAGAGCACATCCAATAATCAAGGCAATGCTGAGAAGCCAGCGGCCCACCGTACAATGCTACAAAACATGCATGTTTTTGTGCACCAGTCGAGGATAAACTCGAGTCTAGTCTGCGGCAAAGGACCCATATATGCAACCACGACACCACTGGTGCTCCCTCAGACAAACCTATTACGGGCACCAGAGAGGCATACCCATATACCTAGGTATATAGAACACGTGATTCTGTGCACATTGTATGTCTGCATGTGTGTAACTCTTGATATAGTTGTGTGCAGTGGTGTTCACTTGGGCAGTTCCCGTGTCTTACAGAGCACCAGTGGTATAGTGGTAGCATAGGTCCTTGCCACGGACCAGACCCGAGTTCGATTCTCGGCTGGTGCAGCAGTGACTCGCATGTTTTGAAGCATTATACGGTGAACCACAGGCATCTCACTGCCTTCATTTGTGCATGCACGCCCCCATGCATGTGCGCGATCCTCCATACCTACTTCGAATTTGTTGTCCCACATGCCCGAAGCGCGTGTGTGCTGGTTGCAGGTCCAGGTGTATGTCCTGGGTATTAGGTGCATTGTTGCATGCCAATAACACCCAGGCAGGAAGGAATGAATGCTATGGTGTAGTGAACTTTAAAGTGCTCTGTCCTGTGCAAATAGATGCAAAGGCACACGCACACAGCAGGGAGACAAGCAAACAAGTGAGGGACTGCAAATAAAGTGCAATACAGCATATGTGTATGCATGTATATGTGTACATATGTCATCCATCGTCATGCGTGTACACGGCTGGCCACAAACAGGATTACATATGCCAGGTTTTTTTATTAGTGCACTCTGTGAGTGCAGTAGTGCAAGTACAGCTCTCCATCCATCATAACCGACCTTAGCTTGCATTCAAAGGTGCTAGCACCAAATCCATAGCTCCATGATTAAGAGATTTGTAGGGAGCACCATACACTCGTTGGATTAGAATACATGTATCCAGCAGACACACACACACACACACACACAGGGAATCACTCAGAGTCGACCGCA